CAGTCTGAGTTCACTTCTATACCTCTTTCACAGACTGCACATTTACCTCTGTAGTTCACTTAATAAGAATAGGTACTGTTTTGAATAGCCTCAGTTCATTCGTTAATTACCATACAACTACCATACAACATGATATTTACTAAGAAACAAAACCATCTTAAAAGAGTTTAGAAATACTTTTAAAATACAATTTCAGAAAGCATTTTGTTTGATTTAATTGACCCTCAGGTTTCAATTAGTTTTTTTTAGAATATCCCAGTTAATCAAAGTTTTACCTTCTTTGAACTAAATTTGATCATTCTTCTAAATATCCACTGTGTCCTTACTGTGTGCAGAGATGGGTACAATCAAGGTAAAGTGTCCCTCTAATCCCAAAGTTCTTATTTTCCTTAACACCACCATATTTTCCCTCCGAATAATTTGGATATTCAAGCAAAAAATAGTTTAATTTAAATTTTATTTGTTTTGTTAATTAGGACTATATTAAATTACATAGAAATTAGCTGATTTGAACATTTATTTTTAATTTTGCAATTATGGCTTATTAAATGTAACTTTTTGCTAATCTAGTTATTTTTTAAATTTCTTTTTAATAATAGTTGACATACAGTGTTAAATTATTTTCTGGTGTACAACAGAGTAATTCAACATATATACCTTGAAAAATGATCTCTACAATAAGTCTACTACCCCCTGACACTGTACATAGTTATACTGATATTAATGACTCTGTTCCCTATGTGGTATATTATATCCCCATGATTTATTTTAAAACTGGATGTTTGTAGTTCTTAATCCCTTTTCCTTTTCTGCCCAACCTCCTACCCTCTACCTCTCTGACAACCATCAGTTTGTTCTCTGTATCTATGAGTTTGTTTCTTTTTCATTTGTTTTGTTTTTTAGATTCCACATAAAAGTAAAATCACATGGTATTTGTCTTTTTTTGTCCAACTTATTTCATTTAACATAATACTCTCTAGCTCCATCCTTGTCATAATCACAAGATTTTATTCCTTTTTTATGGCTAACTAATATTCCATTGAATGTAATTTGTTTTTACACTTGCAAGATCAAGGACAAATTAAAGAAAAAATCATAGATAATTTAGGTCAACAAAGCACTTGGGCAGGACAATGTGTATATTGTTTTTCCTTGTAAAAGTGGTGACTAGCACAGTGTTTGGCATGTAATACAGTCAGTAATCACTTGTAGAATAAATTTGTGAAAAAAAAGAATTTGAAATATAGATAGAGGTTCTTTATGAACATTTTAATAATTGATTTTGTTGTAGTGGCCAATGGAGGTAAGGCAATGAGGTGATGGAGGTCTGATTTCAATAGCTTATTTGAAATTTGATTCACCTGTCCATTTCACAGCTTAACTGTAGAAAAAAGTCTTTGTATTAACTTCACTTTTACTAGGGAAATAATACAGTTCTATTATTTAAAAAGTACTATTTTGCTGAAGGACTTCTTATAATTCAAAGGAGATTTTAATAGTAGCCCAGAAAACTTACTATCCAAAATTGTGTCATAGTAAATGTACATGCATTTAAATTCCTGTAGCTGAGACCTATGCTGCTTACTGACTCTGCTATAAGGATGCTCTGATCGAGGTCACGATCTTGTCTGAACAAGAACTCACAGGAGCAGTCAGTCCCTCAAGAAGAAACTAGATCTCCTGATGAAAAAACTCCCTACAATGTTTGTTTCAAATGGTTCTGTTCCATTATAGCTGGAGGAATTTTTCAGACAAAACATTAAATTAGAAGTCAATTAAGAAAACCAAAACAGTCTGACCACCGTACTCCTGTCTTCATGTGGGATTTAGAAGGACTGAGTGACTGCTGGTAGTGTGTGGTCCTCAGGTTCTGAACACTTCAACCCCGTATGACAATTAGGTGACCATGGAAAAATCTAGAGCCTGAACAGCCATCTTTTCTCTTAAGAAAGATCTTCAGAACATGAATCTTGAGGATGAAAAGAGAAAGTTTTTAGATGAAATAATTTTAGTGGGTGGAATCAGTGGGCTCTTACTCATGTGAAGACTCTTAAGGTGGAATTGCTAAAGGTTTCATTCAGTGTGGTGTGTGTGTGTGTGTGTGTGTGTGTGTGTGTGTGTGTACCACACCAATAAAAATGACATGCCTTTTCTTTATTTTCTTTGACAATGTCAGGGGAAAAAATAGGTTACATAAATGCAGGACATTTAAACCTATCTGTGAAAATTGGATAAAGCAATCACAGCTATCTCTATTTTAGGAAAATGGATTTCTGGGAAACAGTAGTAGAAGTCAGGTCAAGGTGTAATGCATTATATACTTTTTAAAATGTATTCTGAGAAAAAAATGTTAGCCACAATAAATATACCTGCTACTTTTAAAAATGAAATCCCTCACACCTTTCTAATGCCTATCCTTTTATGTAGCAGATAACATTCCAAATGGCTATAGCCTTTATTTTGAAATAAAGCTTTGGGATTATCTAATTGAGTGAAAGAGCATTCGAGCCCTTTTAAGAGCTAGGCACCTGTAGACAAATGTATATTTTATTTGTAAGCAAGTCTTTTTTAATTAAAAAAATAATAGGAGCAATAAATGAGCTCTTCTAAAGTGATGTCAGCACAGCACCCTTGACCTAGACATAGGCTGTAGGTTGTGGGATGAGAGAAGGACCCCTGCTTCCGTCTGCTAGAGATCAAATCCAGAGAATCACAGTAGCCTTGTGGACGTTCCAGATAGATTGCTGCATAGCTCCCAAACACAGAACTTTATTGACTGAACTACACTTGAGTGGAAAATGTCACACATACGGTAAATGTGCTGTTGGAGATGCTCTGGAACTATATTTTTCTGTTGTCAGTGTTTTGCACAAACAACATTCCATGTGGCCATATCAACAGATCTGTGTAGATTGCCTTGCAGTGTTTTTAGACTTTCAGACTGGTGTTGTGATCTACACTGCAGAAAAAAGTTTGGCATAATTAGAAAAATCAAGGACTTTGAATTCCAGTGTAGAACCTCTTGGTCTGACATAGAAAAAGTGTATCATACAGCAGGTCTTCAAATAACATCGCTTTGTTCCATGTAGTGTCATTATAACATTGACGAGGAAAAAATATTGAATCCTGGCCAGTGTCACTCTGTGTGGTGTCTGCCATTGTCCTATGTCTGTGTGGGTTTTTTTCCGGGGATCCTAGTTCCCCCTGCATCCCAAAGATATGCACGTGAGGTGAACTGGTGTGTCTAATTGTCCCAGGCTGCCCGTGACCCTGAACTACAATAAGTGGGTTGGAAGGGAATTCTCTTACTTGTTTTCATTAATCTTTCTTAAATGTCTGTATAGCTCACATTTCTTTCCATGCTTAGTATTAGAAGGATTTGGTTCTTTATTTAGAAGTTTGTGATGTTTTTGTGATGAGAAAATATGCCTTAGGAACGTAACTTGTGTTTATAGCAATTAACCTATGGCAACATTGGTTCCCTTATATTCCCTTTCACTTAAATTCCCATTGTCCAAGAACTATTGACAATGTTAAGTGAGGACTTACTGTACATATATTTAGTGCTTTTATATATAGGCATCAGATATTTGGTATTTCCAAGCCCAGGAATTCTGTACAAATGGCGCTCCCTGAAATTGTGAAACCTGGTGGTCTGGTTCAGGATAGGAATTCTAATGCTTTTGGGGGTTGTGGACTCATGTTTGATGAAAGCTACAGATCTTTTCCCTAGAAAAATATTTTGATTCTCCCACTAGCCCTATGCATGAAAGGATTGTGAATATAAGGAATCTAAAGCTAAGTCCTCATTTGGCGGAATTGGTCATTGATCACATGTTTGTTTGACTCCATGCTCAGCCTCTTCCCCCATACCATAATCCTGTTTCCACAACTAAGCCACTGTCAAGCTCACGCTGGCCTACTTTGTCAGCCTCATCTCTTGCTCCTTCTCCCGTGCATCCTGAGTAGAAGTCACGCTGCATTACTCACAGTAGTGTCATGCTGACCTGTGAACACGCTGTTCCTGCTGCTCTCTGAACATCCCTCATCACCTGCCTCACTACCTCAAGACTCAGCTCAAAGGTCACCTTTTTAGGAAGACTTTCCAGCCCTCTTTCCTGCTGCCTCCATCCTCATAGATCCCCCTCCTTTACACTATCATTGTACTCTCTGCACTCCGCAGTCATAATTCCATTTACTAAGCTGCACTGTAATGGATGCCAACTTGTCTACTTTTTCTACTATTTCAAGGGCATATTTGTGTGTGTGGGCTCCTAACACAGTGCCTAGCATGTAGGAGGCACTTAGAGAGAGAAGAGAGAGAGAGAGAAGAGAGAGAGAGAGAGAGAGAGAGAGAGAGAGAGAGAGAGAGAGAGATTTGGCTGAAGTATTGCTAGTGATTCAAAAAAGCAATTTTTTCTTCCCAGCATCAGATATAGCCTCTTGTATCACAGTGTGAAAATATATTTTTCTCCTAAAGAAATCTAACACATGCAATATTAATAGAGCCATATGCTAGCCCTCTCTCAGTACTATGGATTCCACTGATAACACTGAAAAATGTATTCTTGTTTCAAAGGAATAACATGACCCCATTTCTCTGATAATAAATTCATCTTTTACTAGGCAGTTGTTCCTTACCAATACAGTTCTATTTTCTTGATGGCTTAAGAGGAGAACATCTTATAAGTTAATTTTTTAACTACAATTTTCAAAGTAATTTAAAAGCAGTAACAGAATTTGAATATAATAAGAATTCCTGCTATCTTTTATATATATTGATATATATTGATATTATTTTACTAAGTACATAATAAACAGAACTCAGCATTACAGAGATGAATAAAGACTGTTAAACAAGCAAGTATTTCTTTATAAAAGAGAATATAGTAGGAGGGCAGGGGTCGACGAAATTCTTGTTTTTTCCTTTATAGTACAAGACCTCATTTTATCACACACTGAAAATATTATTGCTACTTAAATGTCTGTTTCCCCCCCAGGCCAAATTTACAGATGACTGCAAGTTCAGGGAGCGATTTCAAGAAAACAGCTACAACACCTATGCCTCAGCAATACATAGAACTGAAAACACGGGGCGCGAGTGGTACGTGGCCCTGAACAAGAGAGGGAAAGCGAAACGGGGCTGCAGCCCCAGGGTGAAACCCCAGCACATCTCCACCCACTTCCTGCCAAGGTTCAAGCAGTCTGAGCAGCCAGAACTCTCTTTCACAGTGACTGTTCCTGAGAAGAAGAAGCCACCTAATCCTGTCAAGCCAAAGGTCCCGACCCTTTCTGCGCCCCGGAAGAGTCCCAACACAGTGAAATACAGACTCAAGTTTCGTTTTGGATAATGTTCCTCTTGGCCTTGTGAGAAGCCACAGGGCCCCCTCAGGAGTTTCCGCAGGTGTCCTTACAGCTCTGGAGAAAAGTGTGGACACAGCTCCAGCTCCACTACACCGCAGGGAAGTCAGGTCATTTGTTTCAGTGGGACTGAAACACAAATGTTTGCTGGTAGGAACTGAACTGGAATTCTTTGTACGGATACAGGGAGCACACTGCCTCAGTTCAGCAAGACAGGAAGCTTTTTGCTGTATGCTTAGTGCATACTAGGACTCTGTGTTCAAGAAGTTAAACAGTGTGGACGATGTATTTTTCTGACTTTTACAGATCAACCCAAAAGAACATACATGACATGTGTCTATTTTTTGTTTGTGGTTTTTTTTTTTGGTTTCTAAAGAATATTTTGATGCAGATAAAATATTTTATTAACTTTTGTTTTTTGTGTTTTTTTAAAAAGTACCTCTGCATTGAGCATATTTTCTTACTTTTATTATTTTAATTAATGTGACATAAACAACCATTTTAATGAATTATAAGTGTGTTTATAGCCCATATGTAACGTGAATTTCTTTTTCATTTTCCTTATTCACTGCACTTTTTCTTTTTATTATATATTTTTATCATACCTCAGATAATGTAAGTTTAGTTCTACATCTTAAAATGTTTAAATTTTCTTCAGTACACCAAAGGCTCAGCTTGGATTTGTGTGTGTGTGTGTGTGTGTGTGTGTGTGTGTGTGTGTGTGTGAGCGTGCGCACACGCACGCAAGTATATGCATTCATGACATGTGGAATCGTTCCCCTTTTGTGGCGGGGCTATAACGGGTTAGAAGGAAGGACATTTTGATAGGATTAATAGTTGGAGATAAGGAAGAGGATTAGAGGTACAAGTATACTAACTTTGCAGCATTTATTGAGATCTAATTCTGCCCTGACTTCATTTCTCCTTTCATCTACTCCCTTCCCTCAATCTTGAGCAGCTGGAGGAAAACATTTTATTCTGTCCAACAAGCATACACTATGAAACCGGAGTACTTAAAACACCTCTTCTATGACTGTCTGCCGTCCCCACTGTATAGATCCATGGGGAGCAACCCACTTACCGGAAACACAGGGAGAACTGAAGGAGATGAATCGTGTGACAGTTATCCAGGTCCAGTCCCATTGTCAAAAATATTCGTATTACTCAGTAGAACACTCTTTGAGTTTCCTATCCTAATGAAAATTATTCCAGTGAATAGATTTGCTCTTTTATAAGGAAAATTTCTGATGTATATTTTTAAAAAGCCAGCTGTGTGATATGGGGAACTTAATTTGGGAATTTGATAAATTGAAAAATGGCATTTAATTGTCAAGCCAAATACTGAATGTTGGGCATAAATCAGAAAATTTGGCTTAAGAGAGTTTACATTATTTATTTATTTTCTTAGGTAATCATTTTTATGGAGTTCTATTGTATACAAGTGTTTATCTTCCAAAATATTGCAATAAAAAGGTATAGCTAATGTTTAGAAGTATGTCTTTCATAGAAAGAGCAAGAGTTCACAGGAGGTTTGTGGTTTCTATTAAGCATGCTTCTTTTCTTTTAAAGAATATTGATAATCTTTCTAAAAAACAAAGTATACTTTATTTTGGTGCACAAATGCAAAGTGGAAACTTGTCAAAATTGAACTTACTACAATTTAAGCAGCTTGCTTTGTTTTAATAAAAACAAACTATACCCACATGTGTGTAATATACATAATTATATACAAAATCCATCCATCAACTAAAACATCATGCATATACTCTAGTATAGTGTTTTATTATAAAGCCAATAATTTAATTGAACATTCTCTGCATTTAATGCATGATTTTAAAAAATATAAAATTAATTACCAAACTTTATGTTAAAATTCTCCTGGGTTAATGAAACAATGGAAATTTGCAAACAAAGATATGTCCAACTCTTATTCAATTTCCATATCACTTTATATCGCAGTAGTATAAAGCAAAATATAATACTCTAGTTTATTCCAATGTATTGTTAAGAATTGTGCACTGTATATCAAGTTCTTAGTACACATAAAAATTAAAGTTGTAGAGCAGGAGAACAGTAGACAAGATGATATTAATGATGATTAATAACCAAGTAAATTAATGCAAGGCATATATTGCATTAGGCTAATGTTGCTGATAGTTTATGTTAACTAAAAAATAATAGCTTATCTTGTACCCCTAGTTTGATTTGATTAGTAAATGAAGGTTAAAGTAAGATAGCTACCACATATATATTATGCAAGTCAGGACTCATTAATTTCAAAATTTAGCACCAAGCTAAAAATTTTAAAAAGCACCTTTAAATTATACTTACCTTTAATTTACTGGCCATACATAATTACATTTAATTAAAGCTCACTGAAGCAAAAAGTACCTAAATTAATTAATTGAATGAACTCATCATGTACAGAAAACATGTAGAAATATGATTCCTTACTAATAACTAGAACTTTCTAAGGGGGTCCATATGTGGTTTTTGATGAGTTTTTAAAGTAACTGGACCCATCTGACATCAAATAAAGTTGTTTAATTGTGATTATGTTCATCTAAAAATGTCAGTGAATTTTACATTAAAATGTAGGTACCTAATTTGCCTAGAATATTGATGAGAGACACTTTCACACTGATGTTTCAATTTAATTATATTATGTTTAAGTTGTGATATTCTTTATTTGGAACACCAGTAGAGGCAAGTAAGATTTTTAATAAGATATATAACACTGTGGTTTTTATTTCACAAAATATACCATCCCTTCCTTCTACTAATTTGAGAGTGTGGATACGTAAAAATTACCTTTGTTCTTTTAGCTGAGTTATAGAGGCCTAGCAGTTCAAAATCATGTAACAACAATAGAACCTAACAAAAGTTATTTCTGAATTTAATAATCATATCATCTTAGATGCTTTTATTTCATGTGATTGAAAATAAAACCATAAATCTGATCGATAAATTTCTATAAAATTGATCTTGAAATAAAAACTTGAACAATTTTCTTACTTTAACATTTTTTAGTCTTCCAAAGGAAACAGTAACTAAGTTATGACTTTACACATTTTCAATAACAAAATGAAAATATTGCACTAAGCCAAGACTTGAATTCTGGCCCCATTTTTACACTTGCAGAAAGTTGCAGAGTAAATTTGAAAAATAAAAGCAATATTATAGAAATGACTGTAATGGGAAGCACACAAAAATAACTTATCAAAGGAATTCTTTAATATCTACTTCATTGCTACATTTAAATTTTAATCATGTAAAATCAATTTTAAGCCAATTGATCTTTTAAAAATTTTTGAAAGAAACTTTTAGATAAATGAACATGTCCCATATTTTCTTTTTTAGAAGTCAGTCCAATTGCACTGACCAGTGTTTGAAATAAGATTATCAGATGATTAGGTGTCGAAGAAGTTACCTCCTACAACTTACTCTCTGGGAGGAAAGGGAGGAGAACCCAGCCTGAGTTGAGTCAGTGGGGGCATTTTTACATCTAAGAATCATATGCAACACTCAGACCATCAGACAATTAAGCTACAAGTCATCCATCAGTATTTCAGCAATTTTATGTAATAAAAATATTAGATTAGATATCAAGAGTCCTTATTTTTATTTTATTGTGTTGTGTCCTGACTCTGCCATATAATTATCACAAGTCACTTTTTAGGTCTTGCTTTGTCCTTCACCATATGATCTCCAATGTCAATTTCAGCTTTGAATCAATGACAGCATAAGTCCCGAGTCTCAAAATGTTGAGGTATCCCAAAAAGGACATTATTTGTCTTCAGGTGAAACTGGATAACCACACGGAAAAAAAAATGTCAATGAAGCAATAAACATATTTGTAAAGCCTTGTCTTAGATTTTAAAAAATTAGGTAAGAGTGAGATTATATCAAAAGATTTTAAAAATGAGGCCCAATTCCAGGCTTAGCATTTTATGAGGGACTTAATATATTTGAATTAATCAGGAGGGGAATAGTCAGAGTAATGTCATTATTGATAACAGTTCTAGAACCTTAGTTAAACATGAAAGATTTGACCATCTCTATTTTGACTGAGATCCCACTCTATCCATAAGCCTCCTAGAAATTCATGAAGAAATATCAGTAATCTCATCTTGACACACTCCAAATAAGGATAGCTAGTAACATAACTTTCCACCACCCTTTCCACCATTCCCTTACCTTTCCAATAATTCAGTATTTTCTGAGTTCTTGCTCTGCACAAGGCACTCAGCTAGTGAAACATTCCTTGATTTGCTCAGTACTTGTTCACTCCATTTCTTGTGCATGGTAACATCAATGTACTCTCAGATTTTGAAATTCCAGAGGAAATATAGCTGTCCTCACCTCATTGCACATTGCCCAAACCAGGCTCAAGCTAATAAAAGGGACTTATGACATGCTCTTCCCTGATAGTAATTTTGAATGTATTCCTCTGACTTAAACACTTTGTGGAGGTATTGGATATGCTCCTAATTCACAGAACTGGGTATGAAGTTATATTTATAGGTCCCTAGAATATTTTCGGTGCTCCAAAATGCTTATAGGATGGCTATTGGTGCTGAATAAAACTCATTTGAAGATGATGATTAAGATGAAGAGAATTTCATGTAAGATATGAAATGGCTCCTACAACAAGAATAAGAACACCAGGTAACCTCGTCACTGTATTTGGACTTCTCAAATGCAAATCCTGAGTCCAAACTAAAAATTTCAGGCACTCATATTTTTGGAAGCTGCATTTAAGTATTCATAAATTAGTCAGCATATGAAACTTCAATTTCATTGTCAATCTTAAAAATAGGTGACTATGCAAATCCTGATGATTTTGTCATTTGTAAGCCAACCGAGAAGTCCAGTGGGATGTCCGTAGATCTGAATGGGAAAGTGAAGACATTTCTTTTTGGTCATATTTTTCTAGATGTGTTTTTTTCCTTTTTTTCAGATACACTCTCTCAGGGAAGACTGCCTCTTTCTGTACCCTACAGAGAGATTAGTGAATGCATAATCACACAGTAACAGGTCCGGTTCCTAGGCGTTTCTCATTAAATTCTCTGTCATTCCCTCTGTGGGAAACTGGGAAACTTATCAGATTTTCATTCAGGGAGGCGAATTTCTGCTGAGGAAGCAACACAATGGCTTTTACTCTCCGAAGTGCAATTACAGCTGCTTTCCCAACAGTGCTTCCTTCTACCATAGGGCTCTCTCTGTAGGATGTATGTGTTCCATAACCTGACACAGCTTATATATTCACATTTTTAAAAGTTCACTAGTTGTCGTACATTCTGCTCAAAAAAGAGACCCCGAGAGTAAGCGGAATTGTTCATTGTACTAGAATACTAAATGTACCAGAAGAATATACAAAGACCTCCCTAACAGTCGCCATGCAAATGGAGCACGGGACAGAATGGGTTTCAATTTTAAAAACAAAAAAGCTGCATGAAAGCTGGACAGTCTCAGTCTTTTCCTTTTTTTTCTCTTTTGCATAAGTGTGCATTACAAAGGAGTAAAACGTTTTCAATTTAAGTAATGAAAGAATAAGTCATCACGATGCCAACTATAAATCCCCACGGAGGCCTGCAGTTCTTGCAAATTATGATTAGGGGGGTAAGTCATGCCCATTTATGTTGCTCCCTTAGTTGTATCACTGGGTAATAAAATTGGGTCAGCCTGAGAGAGAGTTTGTTTTCACCTTAGAAATCATGTTGCTTAAGATCCTCAGCTTTTACCAATGATGAGCAAGAGACCAGATGAGAAAAAGACACATATTCCAGCTTGCTGGCACAGAGCACAAACCACAAGATCTCTGTACGAGTCAAGGGAGTTTAATGTTTAATGATTCAACACAGTGTAGCAAATTCCAAGGAGCCTACACAAACTGAAAGAATTATGATTTCTTGGTTGCTAATAATTTATGGCAGAAATATCTAATAAATGTCTAATAAAAACAGTTAGTGTTTACTTAACCCCTTACAGTATAGTGGTGCTGTGCTGGGTCCTGGGAATGGAAATAAACATGGCACCTGTTCGAGGGAAAACTTACATTCTTGCTTATATTATCAGAGATGTGGATCATATCTTTTGAGTGTTATATCCAGTTCTCAGTTAAAATGACCCTTAATCTTGCCAAAGGAATTTAATGTCAGGATAGTATTTGCAGCAACAGACCCGAAAGCTTAAATTTGGTTAGATTATATACTGTGGAAGTGCTTCACAAATTCCCTTGGCGCTCCCTTTGGGAAGTTATGGCATACTTTCCATTGGTTGACCAAATGCAAAATTATTCTAGCCTCACTAAAAGATAATCAAGGGCCCAATAGAACATAGAAAAAAGGGATATAGGCTATTCTAGGGAGACTTCAAATTCTGTTAACCAATACTCACTTGATAGCTGGGATTGGAAGATCAATGGCCATCTAATTTCAGAGTTGCTCAGAAATGGAAAAACTGATGTGTGCTTCTCAGTCTGATTTA